CCCACTAGGACCGTACACAGAAATTCTAGCGTAGCTAGCGCCCACTCCATCGTCGATCCTTCTAGCTCTGCCACCGTCTCCACCACCTCTACAACCACTCCCACCTCCACGACCACGTGGCGATTGCATACTGCCAAGCATAATGCTAGTAGAACTTTTGTTGTAGGCTTGGCACCTACCGAGTCTTTTAGAAATCCTACCACCCCACTCATTACCGATGGTGAGCGGGTGGGGTCTCAGCTTCCACATGCTGGAACTCTCACTATTACCTTGAAGATTTGGTTCTTGTATTGACATGAGAATTTGAGTGCCAATGGCTCAACGACGATCCATACGCCTATAGGAGCAAGCACAGTGGTTGTGTACTCTACACTTTTGTAGGGCCATTGTTGACATTGGCGACAGTCCTCTAGTGCACAGTCTCTGATGGTTTCTTCCTGTCACGAACAAGAAATAGAATGCTAGGGCAATTGAGGTTGTCCCAACCACTTGGTGGAGCGTACAAACTACTATTTACAAGCGAAGAAGAATTGTAGCACCGTAGAACTTATTAACAACAGGTACTAGATTGTCGCGTTTTAAAGTTCAGGTACTAAAATGGCACTCGACCTAAAGTATAGGGTATCTATCGGGAATTTTCCTAATTATTATTATTAATGCTAATAATAACTAACAAATGAAAATTCAGATTATTCAAAAAAATTAAATTGTATAAAATTTATTATACAAATTTATAATAAGCAGTTACATATCTTTACACTGAATAATAAGCAATTCAAAAAAGAGAACAAAAACTGAACGATAGTATGAGCACTGTCTGAAATCCAAAGTAGCAAAAAAATCCAATGAATTCACGATGGATAATAGGAATTCGGGTTTGATTTATGTCCTACATGAATAACATTGAATTTTTCAAAACAAAGACATCAACCTAAATTTAATATCAAGAAATTAAAAACAACATGAACAAATAAAGCAATAAACAAAATTAGTTTGTAAAGAAAAACCAACATACCTGAACACACAAACGAGAAACCTCTAGGACATCTGTAAAATAAACCCTGTATAAATGAAATAAAAATAGCATATAATCCAACCAGCTTAAACATGCAAAAGAAAATTATTTGGTAATAGCAGAATTTTTGTAGCTTTTCACAATATCCACTTGTCTTGTTCTGCTTTTCATTTCTTTCATTTCTCTGTCTTCTCTCTTTGAAGTATGGGTTTTACAACATCCATCATTCCATTTTTGTCCTCTTTAACCCTTTTCACTTTCAAGTGAACAGTTGATGTTAAGAATAAATGGGCGAAGCAGAGTCTTCTAAGCAATGCGATGCCAATACTACTTGCGATCAACGGTCAGAGGTTTTCATTCTCTGTTCCTCTCATAGTCTTTTGAGATTCATTTACACTTCTTCTGTGGGCTTTGGTTTCATCGGTGGTCTTCCAAAATGTGTTTTTTGTCTTATTATATCAGACTATTCGGTTTTATCATATGGAAGGCCCATCCTGCTATTTTCGCATGAAAAAAAACAATTTTAGTATGATGAATACCTTTTCTTGCGGGAAGAGAAGGCCACGCCGCCTTAACAAAGGCCCATCCAACTTTGATATATATAGTAGATTAGATTTCTTTATTTTTAATATATACTTTTATTTATGCATTTTTTGAAGCCTAATAAACTTATGTCGATTTTATATAAATTTGCAGATATTTGAATATTAAACAAATTGAATTTGAATCCATATTTTACACATCCATAGGATATTAAATCGAATTTAGTCTGATCTCTTTAACAAAGTATTCATTGAGTCCAAGTGTATAGCAGCTCTCGTCACCTTTGTGAAGCATTGTTAATGTTGGTAGAAAAAGTATTTTACTATGCCGGAAAATTCAATTACGGCCAGCGGTAAAGGCGAGTAACCAATAAAAAAACTTATAATAAGTGAGGCATCATTAGCATTACCTTGTTATTTTTGCCACATGCCATCTACCAATACACTTGATCTGCCATATGTTTACTTCAAACGTCCACGTCAACCTATGTCTACTCAAAATTCAGAGGCTCATGGTAAACACATGGCAACCTATGTCTACACTTGTTACAATCACGTAATGTTGTTCATATAATTAATAATAAAAAATAAATGGAATTTTGATTTAATATTAATAAATTATTACTGTTCATGCAAAAACTGAAGAAAACATTAATAATAAAAAATAAATTATTATTAGTATTCATGCAAAAAATAAATTATTAATCATATTATTCATATTAATAATAAAAAATAAATGAAATTTTGGTTTAATAAAAAATGTAGAAAACATCACAACCAAAAAAATACTACTTATTTCAGCATATTATTGTTCATATTAAAAATCAAGAAAAAAAAGTCATCAATCACATATTTGAGCACATTATTAACATAATCTTCAACAAAAACGGATCAAAAAAATACTAGAAACACCACACGAATGCAATAAGAATTAAAAAAAAATATCACCAATTATTCATATTAAAATTCCAAAAAATAAGCAAAATTCGGAATATGCAAGAACGAGACAAAAGAAAATTCAGTAATTACTTATTATTCATGTAATATTCAACAAGAACGAGAAAAAAATTGTAGTTGTTCATACAAAATATTATAAAACCAAATACACATACAACATTACATCATTTTTTAGTTCATATATTACTGAAAAATTGAAAAAAAAATGGTTTTCACTAAAATATACAAAAAAAAGGTAAAAAACATTGAAATGACCAAAGTAGTAGGATTAGGAAATGATCGCATGCGAGTTTCAGGTGGGGTTTTTGTCCAAAATTTCAGATCTGAGAGAAATCACGCAAGCAACAACTCAAATGTTAAAACACTTCAAAAAAACAAAGAAAAATCAAGCTTTGAACGAAGATGAACGTTTGGAAATGCAAAACGACCCACCCACCGGTCGATTTCATGCCACTAAAGTCGTCACCAGTCGCCCTCCAAACTCTTGCTGCCACTACCCTATTCGAACTGGGCGAATGGAGAAGACAAGGGTTTACTCCATTCGCGGGGTAGCTTGGGTATTAGAAAACTTTTTAGGGACTGAACCGCTCCAGAATTTTTGATAATAAGTAATTAGAAAAAACCACCTTAAACCTATTTTTTGTTAAGTGCTTTCTTGAAGGGTAAAATACAAAAATTTTCCCTGAAGTTTCTGATAATCATAAAAACTTGCCCTATAGTTTAACTTTAACAAAAACCTCTTTTTTATTTTTATAAAAATCGATAAAAACCTCCCTTCTCAATAATCAAGACAGAAAACGTATAGAATTACACTTTTATCCTTAAACATCATCTGAGCTATTTACAAAATACCATTTTTGCCCTTACTTGAGCAACTCACTACACTCCCTGTACTATTGAAACACTCGAACCCTAACCCTAACAGTTGCTTGTTGGCCGGTTTCTTCATTAGAGTTCATTTTTTTTCACCGGAATATTCTACTTCCCTTTCGTTTAGTTTGTAGCTGTTGTAGTGTTCGAAATATTCTTCATCGGAATTATAATAGTCCTGACTGTTCAACGATTTGTTCGATCAATCTTTCCAACTAAAAAGTTCTAGTTGAATGGTTGTAGGAGAAGCATCTCGTCACAATCTGCAACAGACAAATCGTCACCGTAGAGAGAAGAAACAAAAATTGTGAGGGCTCTCGACGGAAACGTGCCCCAATCTCTTTGAGCAACAACTGGTCTGAGCTTCCCGCCTCCATTCCAGTGTTCATCTCCGACCACGGTGAGCTCTCCCCTTCTCTCTGTTGCCTTTTTATGTTTTCAATTTTTTTTTTTTTGCTTTTCTATTTGAGTTTTTCTCTTTAAAAACAAGAAGATCCGCTCCAACTTCACAAAGATAGGATGGGATCTCCATTGTTTTTCTGCCCTCTCTCTCTCTCTTCGCCATCATCAATGGAAGTAGAAGAGAGCCATTCAGCCACAAGCATTTTGTTTTACATGCAGCAGGATGTTGATGTTACATAGCTTGTCGATTCATCATGAAAGTAATTGCAAAAGGTTTAAAATTGCATCAAAAGTAGAAGGTTGGAGAGGTAGATTGAGCTCTAGTTCTCATTCTCTTATGTGGCTTGAACCAGAGTTTTCTACCCAATCACCTCGAGTCCCACCTGGATGAAACTAGTGTAATAAAAGAGGAACCAAGATAATAAGAGAGGGCAAAGGGTATTTTAGTAAAAATAGGTATACAATAACTCATACAGGGGTAAAATAGGTATTTTAAAAAAATATCATAGGTTTAATACTTTCCATCGATTTTTTTTGAAAATAGAAGGGGGAGAATGACAGTTCAGTCTAGGGTCAGAATTTGTTGGGTCAAAGTATTATTGGGGTAGGTGCATTGATGCATAGAGTGTGAATTATTGACATTTTGAATGTTTATAGATCTGTAGTGAAAATCAGAAATCTGCATTGAACTTGTCCCTACTTCTCAGTTTATCAATTGCTTATTGTCCTATTAATGTGAATGTGTGATCCCAGCATTTCTTTTAAAGACACTTATTAAAAACGAAACCAATACTACAAATTGGTTCTAGGAGTAGGTAGGGGTGGTAAAGAGCCGAGTTTTTCATGAGTTATTTGATATTTGATATATATAATTAAATTATAAAAAATAATATATGTATAATAAAAATATTATAATTATTAATTATTATAATTCTTAATATTTTAAATATCAAATAAAAAATATTTTTATATATAATTTTTTATTTATTATTCGACTCGTTTCGGCTCGAATCCACCCCTACCAGCTGGCTACCTTCTACTTCCTCATCTTTTTCCGTTTTTTGTAAATAAATTTCTTTCTTTCTTGCAGGTAGGATAGGATTGATTTTTGGCATGGGCCCCTCCAGTCAATCTTGTCATATTTTTTATTCTACCGTTCGATTGGAATCCATTCACATTATTCCTTTGACACCAATTCCACAGTTAAAAGGCTTCTTTCCTTTCCAAGGAGACGCGTCGTCAAATTGCAACTCTTCTATTCGGAGCTCTCTGGTACACGATCCATTTCATCAAGCTTCCGAAAGCAGGAAGCATGGAGCGATTGAGATCGCGAAGAATCCATATCCAGTTTGATGCCTCAGAAACCCTAGCTCCCCAAGACGAAAGACTTCGATTGAAGCCTTCAGAGAACGTTACGGAAGAGCAAGAACCTTTTATGGGTGTCAAAGTCCGAAGAAGAGCTTCGTTTCGCAGAGACTACAAAGGGGATTATCTAGACGTTCCTTCGCAACCTTACCTCATGAAGATCTTGGAGAAACAAGGTATATGCTTGTGCGCTTATTTCATTGAAATTTGCTTTAGCTCTTTCTTAGTATATCTGAAAATTCGATTCCTTGCTAGAGATTTGATATTCTAACGTTTTCCTGTTGTATTATCCATCTTTTTTCTAAGTTCCAATCGTTAGCTCAAATTTGCGAAGTTTATGCTTTTCCATATAAGTTGTGCCATTTCTAGAAAATTTCGAGTTTCCACTACTTTAATAACGATTCCATGCTCCAAAATCTACAACTTGATGTTTATTTTTTTTTTTTTTTCCTAAAAGCCTTAGATTATTAGATTTCAGTAAAAAGATACGATTTCTCTTCTAGATTCGTATCTTTTTGACTATCGGAATATGATAATTTGATTGTGGTACTCATCTCCCATCAATGCAACTTTCTCGTCTTAGTTCCATTATTTTTCGAGTTGGTTCTGTTGAACGAAATGTTGATGAATATTTTTATTAATTTATATCCTAGTAGATGATTGATGAATGCTTCTCAAACTTGTAGGATGCATGCTTACTGCTTGGTTAGAAATCGTTTTCCTCTTTTTTTTTTCCATTTATTTTTGGCATATAAGTATATAACTATTGGCATTATGTTGGCACCCTATAAACAGAAAAGAGGAGAAACCCTATCAAGAACACCCTAATCATTCGATAAGAAACTTTTCATTTTTGTAGGTTCAGTGTAGTTTCTTACTAACCATTGCAGAGAAGCTCGAATCAGATAGTTTATATGTTCTAGCAGGACAGTTTCTGATGAGGGGTAATTTGCCAGATTGCGTGACATCAGTTTCCGCTACTACTCTTCTAGGTTATCTTGTATACACAGAGTGGTCATGTCATGGATTGAGTTTTGAATTAGAACTTGTACTGAATATTGAAGTTTTCTGATGGGTATGAAACCAATTCTGTAGTATCTGGGCAACAAAATTTGTAGGTGTGATCTACCAAATGAAGAATGTTAGATGCACGCTCTATATTTGTATATGCTAATGGGATATCTTCAATTTCTGCAGGTGATAACCAAGTGGTCTTTGCTGATAGGGTTTTGAAGTTCACTGGATCAGGGAAGATGAGACGGCGTATTTTGTTGATTACCGACTTTGCCATTTACATTGTTGACCCAGAAACTGGCTCACTTAAGCGGCGTATAGCACTTGCAGCTGTTGAAAAGCTTTGTTTGAGTGAATTAAACGATAACTTCTTTGCCATTATCATCCCAAGCGAGTATGATTGTCTCATGGCCAGTACAAGGAAAACAGAGATTGTAACAATGTTAGTTGAAGTTACCAAGAGCACATCAGAGTATGAACTGGAGGTGGCTTTCTCCAATAGGTAATTGATACTCATGTTGTTTTTTCACGTCCTAATATTTCCATAAAAATGTTCTTCATTTTTAGGCTAAAATTGTCCTTCTATATGTGGCATGGCCATGCGAACTGGATCCTTTACCATTTATTTCGTGGAACCCCTTTGAATTGTCCAAAGTTGAGTATTGTTAATTGTGGACTTGGAAATACCTACACCATGTAGTCTCCCATCTTTTGTATTTCTTTAGGTAATAAGCAAAATTGTGAAGATGGTTCAGGCTCGTGTAAAAGAATATCTGACCAGGACAACTTCCATAGATATGCCTAATTGATTGATTATACTGTGGGTCCATACATGCTTTATCCATATACAAAGTAGAATAGATCCTCATTCTGAACCAGCAGGCCATGGGATTCAACAGGGGCAGAGATTTTAGCAGTGCTACAAAGGTTTAGGCTGGAAAATGACTTAAACTATACAAAATTGTAAATTAAGGGAGAACCCAATTGGTGATGGGCTGGATGCAGGATGAAGAAAGAACTCCTTAGCAGTATAGCAACATTATGAGGGAGATAATGAGATCAAAAGAAACAGAATTGTATATGCAACTTGGGTTTATAGATCAGTTAACAGATTGATAGATGCTTCGGCAAGGAGTGGACAGAGAATTTATTTTGGGGCAGGGGAAACTGTGATGTAAAAAAAGATAGTGGCCATTGATTTAAAAGGCGCATTTTAGGGTAGGCGCCTCGCCCAGGTCCTAGGCGCAGCCCTTTCAAAAGGCACACGCCTGGTGCGCCTAGGCATGTGCCTAGTGCACCTTGCGCCTCAGCCCAGGCGTGTGCCTTTTGAAAAATTGACACTTTTTTGCTTTATTTGGTAATATTGTTCATTGATTCATCCTAATTAAAACTATAAAATCATTATTTTTTATGTGAGAACTAAGAATTTAAGACCTAACGTGGACTTGTTTGGGCTTGCTTCGAGGGGCATGGCACAAAGGAGGCTCGTAGAATAAGGAATGTAATATGTTTTACATCACATTAGCTACTTGAAGTAATGCAATTGAGAAAAAAGAGATTGTGGGTTTTATATGTTTGATTTTATTTTTAAATTCTCATTTGAATATGCTTTACATGCTATATTTATGTATTTTAATTTTAGATAATAGGTTTTTTAAAACATTTATTTTAAAATTTAAGTTTATATTTTTATCAATATTATGTTTAATATATTTTTTTTATTTTTTTGTGCCTTGCTTAAAAAGGCGTGTGCCTCACCTTGTGCCGTGTGCCTCAAGTGCAAATTGACCCCTACACCTTTTTTGCGCCTTGCAATTTTAAAACATTGGGCCTATCAAAAAACGTAAAAAGATAGTGGCCTATCAAAAAATGTAAGAAGATAGTGATTTTTTTTTTATAAGCAGCAAAAAAATATTGTATTACTGTAAAAAGGGAGAAACCCTCAGAATTTACAAAAAGTGTGACTATGATATCTGCATGACATATACAGTATGTTCAAAAAATGATGGAACTCCATTCATTCCAGAAGCAAACAGGAGTAACTCCTGAGAACTGATTTAGTGCTTTGGCTCATCTCATCTAGGTTCATTCAATTCTACAGATAATAGCTTCTGTGGTAGAGGCCTTAGCTTCAAACATTCTGCTGTTTCTCTCTTTCCAAATGGTCCAACAAATGATGGAAGGTAAAATTGTCCACCCTCCAACAAGACAGCAGATCAGCCATAGAAAAAGGAAAGACCCACTGTCTGTGGAACAACCGAAGAAACTGGCACCAAATCATATGAGATACAGGACAATGTATGAGCAGATGGTTGGATGATTCTGGCACCTCTACGAACAAGCAGCAAACATTCTCCAGTTTCATGCCCCTTTTCTGCAAAGTGTTAACAGTCTAAATCTTTTCCCACATCCCACCCAGCAGACCACACAAAAAAGATTGTCTTCAAAGGGACTTGAACCTTCCAAATCCAAGCTCAAGGGATTGTAGGGGAGAAACCACTTAGAGCTCTGTAACAAGATTTAGTGAAGATGAGACCTGTTTTCAATAGCCTCGGAAAAATGGACATTCATATGGACTCCATTCAGTCTTTTCAAGAGTTCCTCAAGCATCTCCAATTCCCAATCATTCAAATGTATTCTAAAATTATGACACCACACCAGCTTAGAGTTACATAAGTCAATATAGTTCTTAACTGGTGCCTCCCTTGTTAGTAGCAATGCCATAAAGTGATGGGAAATCTTCACACAGTGGCCAGTCAGAACACCATCTCTCCCTGCATAAAAAGTGAAATGGCGATCATCTCAGGGATGCTTGTCAAATTTTTAATTAATCTTACAAAACTTAATTGTAGATACTTTCTAGCATATTGAGCTATCTAAACATAATGATGTTCAAGAGTTAATATCAATTGCTAGTGCCATGTTCATTTGTTCTTTTAGTAAAATGTTGTATTACCATGAAGGGGGACATCCAACTTACATGTGATCTCTAAACATGTATATTTATTTTTTATAGAAAATGCAAAATATCAAATTAATTGACAATGGTAATAGATACCATATAATTTTTCTTTCAAGGCTAACTTTCGGCTCTATCAAATCAAGGTCAGCTCGTATAACTTCTTGGTATCATTGAATGGTTTCTTGAATTATGAAAATACTGGTTTCAGATGATATAATCTAAAGATCATATTTAATAGATGATCTGTGGTTTCTGCCCTTTCGAAACATAAGATGCAGCTATTGATGATCATCTTATTGGTTGTTGGTACTGAACCTATGTATTTTTGTTCGAGGAAGCACACCACATCAAGAATACCATTTTATTAGGTCCCAGGGGATTGGTCTGCTATCCAACAACTTAAAGCAGCATTAGCATCTTACTCCAAAGCCATTTATCTTCCTCCAATATAGCCCTAGGTAACCTTCCAAACAAGTCAAAAGATGTAGACACTTCACATGAGTGACATGGTTAAACAATCATAACCTCTTAGAAATATACACTATGTTCTTCTCTGTAGAAACCATTTGTTTCAGGAGAAATGAAATCCCACTCTGGTTTTTGAAGTGGCCTACATTTAATTGGTGAGTAAAATAGTGCTCTATGTTAGTCAATGAAAAGCTCAAAAATTATACTACCCATTTGTTGGAACACCGGGTTTATTGTTTTTCTTTAATCCTTCTTTCCCATTATCTGCCCTCTAATATTGGATAAGAAATAGCTACAAGAATGTTGTCTTTGCCATTAATATTCAGCATCAAGAATTTATACATAGAAATTGGTACATAATACCATGTTCATCAAGTAAAAGCTTCTTACATATGTCAATTACATACGTAATACCATTGTTTAAAGACAAGAGAGGGGATCTGTCAATAAAAACAAGGGTGTCATAATTTCAGAAGCTAACTTAGATTCTTCAAGACCACTTTAAAAAATGGTGTCTCAATTAGAAAATAGAAACAATTTAAATAACTCCTTAGTTAGACAAGTATCAATTTAAAAAATGAAATAACTTAGAAAAATATGGTTCATCAATTTGTAACGTATCCATAATTTGGTTACATATTTCTTAATTGGCATGATCTTGGATTTGTTGAATGACAATCAAATGATACTTTTCAGCAGTAATAAATCAAGTTATTTGTGCATACTTTCCAATATGAGGCCATTAGTAGAGTAAGACTTGTACCATGTTTTCTTCTATCAATAAATTTCCCTACTTTTCGTAAAAAATGAATGAATTAAATAAACCAAGTCAATTGGCCCATTAATTCCATTATTTTGTGCATCTCTTTTTTTTTTGTTTTTTGTTTTTGATAAGATAAAGAATGATTTCATTACTATTTCCTTATTATCCTATTTTCCCTTGACATTTTGCTAAATGATTTTGTTTAGCTACCTAATTTTTCATGTTAATCTGTAGATTTGAATACAATACTTCTTCTGTACTGGTCAAGGAAGTTCAATTTGAGGAAGTTGAAGGTTTGTATTACGTGATATGCTTTATTCATGAAGATAGATTTTGAGTGTTGATTTTTCCTAGTTCCTAAGGCTTTTGATATTTTTAAATTTCAGAAGGTGTGAAAACGAGGATTGTGCGGAAGTAAATGGCTATTTTCCTTGTAACATTACATACTGAGATTGAATGGAATTGTAGGGTGGATTGGTTTTGTTCCTTGTAAAGGTAATTGATTCTCTGTGTATTGTGCACGGCTTCTATTGTCATCATCATAGAATAATGTATTTTATTCTCTCTCAAATATATTTTTCTTTTCATGTATTTGCAAGTTTTGCAACTTAAGTATCAGTTTCAGATCAATTTTATATGTTAAAGTGGAAATAACAAAGTGACTATTAAAAGCCACCTCAAAAAATAGTGTTTCAAAGCCTTAAACTATCCGATTCTCCTATGACCATGAGAATTGCTAGACAAGTGGTTGATTTTCCAAAACACCCCATGCTCTGCAGCTATAGATCATGATGCAATAATATTTTATCAGTCTGGGCAAATCCAATGGGTGCTGATGACTGCCTGACTATATCATGCAGAATTGAGTCAAATTCTGAACCTGAGAGTTATGATCTAAATATAATCACCTAGTGGTGACATGGTAACTGAGTTTTCTCAGTTTATATATATAGTCAGTTCAGTTATTTATCCTAGTGCAAACCTTTTTACATGTGTTAAATTCAGATAAGTGAGATGGTGCTGGATGGATGATACTTAGAGGATGATGGGAGGGGGAACATAGTGCATGTGTATCTGATCACATACTGTATTAGATGGTTTTGGTCTTTAGAGTCTCACGAAAATGGGCTGGAGTTTGTTGGGTTTGCTATGAACAGCAGTTTCTCATCAATAGAGAAACACAAATCTGCAGTGAACGGAGGTTCTCTTATTATTGCGTAAAGAAGAAAAAGCAGAGAAATTCACCGGGGATGCCCATTTGGAATTTTGGTAGTATTGTGTTCCCACTTTTTCTTTTTCTTTTTTTTTTTCTGTTTTTGAGAGAACACTTTCATTTATTTCAAGTTCAGTATTTATTTTGCTTTTGATCTTTCAATTTCAAGCAAAATATGGTGGCATTTCCCATCTTTGTTGTTTTTTTTTTTTGTTTTTTTCATTTGCATAGTTCGTTTTGCAAATATTTTTGAAACGAATCAAATTAACATTCTTCTGACATAGCAAAAAACAGGGAAAGAAAATCGTGGCTTGTGTGGATGCTATCCTAATACTGTATAAGCCTTTGAGAAGATAATAATGTTTAAAGATTGTTCCCTTTTAAAGTGTTCTGATGAATGGCCGTGCATGGGAAACATTTGATAAAAATATAAATATAGGGGGTTGAGTGGTTGACGATTTGATGGAGTATCACACATTAATGAGCAAGGATTAAAATATTGATCGGCGTATTGTATCTGTGTATTGGTGGACTCCGAAATGGATAGTATAGATACACCTGATACGGATAGGGTTGGGGGGTTTATTAAAATTGGGAGAATGACTGTTCAGCCCACTCCAGAATTTTTAATACCACCGACCGTTAGGTTGGATGAATCTTGATAGTGGATTGATGCGAAATCTACGGGCAGATAGACTGGGGGTTGTAATTTCAGATTTTTGCGATGGAGTGCAATATAATTTTTACTTTAAGTTTGGGAATAAAAGCCATTCCTCTCTCATGCATTTTATAAAATATAAAAAAAAAACAAGAGATGGCATTTTGTAAAGGCTGGGAAGAGTACAAATACATACAAAATAAAGGTTTTACACTCTACATGTTGGGTACCTGGTATTTGCTGAAGAAGAATCTCGAAAATGAGCATGTGGAACTGTGAACCTTTACTTGGTTCCCGCAGCTGAGATTACCTCCCCAGAACACCCCTGGATCTGGGTCGGTGGGTTCCCTTCCCTTCACAAGATGGGCTAAACCTTGCTGTGTGTGGCTTAGATGAGAGGAGAAACCTATGGACTATGGTCTCTGCAGTCTGCACAGGTGTTATGAGAAATTCATCAAGCAAGGGCCCTTCAAGTCTTCAACCATCAACATGACTGGTTTGGCGTACAAGGATGGGGATTCCAAATTCTAGACCTGACACATTATTTCACACCACTTGTCCCACTCAAGATAATCTAAATGCCCCAAAGTAAACGCAGTAGTTTGAACTTTGAAGATGGATGACAAAATATATCTTGGCTTATATATTTATATAAAAGTTGAGTGTGGGCTGTTGCAGACACATCACACATGGCTAAGTTTCCCCACTCTCAGATAAAAAGTATACCAGCAGTATTGATGGTTCTTTTATAATCACAAATCAGACCTAATTTAGTCGCCCATATAAAATAAAAAACCCAGCAGGCTCAGAGTCGGATATCACATGAAATATACGTGTATAAAATATGAATAATTGCCTCAAATTGAAGAAGGGTTATTAGTTAGTTAAAATAAAAATAAAATAAATAAACTGATCAAATTTGCAAATCCGAGGTATGGGCAAATTACAAATGGTTCTAAGCATTATCTTCTTTTTTTTTTTCTTTTTAACTAAAAAAGAGGATCGATGGATCAATGGGCTTTGATCACCTTGGGCTGCATCCTTAGATATGTTGATCATAGTTCAAAGTTCCCGTTTTCTGGAAAGTCAATATCAACAGTCATAACAGCCGCCCATCTTACCACGAGTTGTATGGTCATTGTTTGATGGCCCACCCATTATCAACTTCAACTTGCGTCATCAACCCAATAATAAATCAATTTGAATTTTGAGATGAAGCTTAAACATCAGCATTTACATCACTAGGTGAATAGAATTTGGTTTGGACGGTGAAAGTCGGTCCATAAATGCTTCGATTCAGTGTACAACTAACTGTACATGTCATCAACTTGAAGTCGTCCACCCATTGCTGATTGCTGGAGAGTGAAGACTCCCAGCACAGAGAGAGAGAGAGAGGAATTTGGTTGACATAGAAGACAAATCAAAGCCCTTTCCACTACATAATAAATAGTAATAGTATAATATATTCCTTCACTTACCACAGATTAGTACACATCATTACATGCTTCCTTCTTCAGTCTTACCATGACTAAATTATTTATTCATATAAATTTTAATGGATTTGGTTGTGTTTAAATGAGAGTGAGCTGGACCTTGAAATAAATACGCCAATGCTCAATTATTATTCCCTACACAGTGTACCAACCTGATTAATTAATTTTTAAATCATTTGTTCATCAAGGATATTATAAACATTTACTTAAAACAATGCATTGGTCGTATTCTCAACCTAGCTCCAACCTCCCTCTGAGACATTCTGTGCAATTACAGGCATGATATTGATTTTATGGGCCATTACTTGGTGTAATTAAGGGTATCAATTGGACCAGATTTGATCAAGTTTAATTGGGTCCAATGAAATTATTACAGATGGAACAAATTAAATCCAATCCAATCAATACTCAGAACCATTTTGGATCTGTCCAATTCAATGTCTGGACCATTCAATCAATTTATTCAAGATGGTTTCTGGACCATCCAATCAATCTGTTCAAGATGGTTTTAGTTTAGAATGGTTCCAATCCAAACCTGCATGGTCCATTGACACCTGTATTCTTATTTTCTATCAGTGGATCATCCGACCCAGTTCAATATAAATCTATTGCAGATGGACCAGGTCCAATCCAATCAAATAAATACTCTAGACCCTGAAGTCTGAATTGGTCTAATACAATGTCTTGTTGGTCTGTCCAATCCATCTAAATTGGTCCAACTCCAACCCAAAAGCAGTACACCCCTAGATGTGATGGTAAAATCTGGGACCGACAAACATGAGAACGGAGATCAAGTTTGTGGATGGCCACAATGGTAACTCTAATTATATTAATAATCATTCATCAAACCAGTATTTTATAAATATTAATAAAATGTATAATTATTTCTTTAAACATATACAACATTTTAATTCTTCCATAAGGTTTAATGTTCTTGATGAATTTTTGGAACTTCTATGAATTTCCCTGTATCCTAAATTCTCCCATCATATTCATTACTATCCAAATGATTAATAAATTACATTATCATTATTGTTCCCGATGCCCATATTTTAAACATTGAGTATGAGAAATTGAGTTGTATGAAAATGGCAAATTCAGAGGGATACCTGGTCAAATATTCTTATCTCTTGGTTATGAATGAACCGACCTATTAGAAAATTTTGTAAGCTCTCTCCATAATATTTATGTGTGGCCACTATAGTTCGGGTAGGAGCAGTTTTTTTATACTAATAAACTATATTTTCTTGTTTTGGAAAATTATTAAATTAGTTTATCTACTTAATAGATTTGTTGAATCAAATTTGTTTATTTAATAGAATAGAATAGAATATGGAATTTATCTTATCACCATAACTCAGCTGACCTGGAGGAGGCCATGCAGCATAGACAAACAGCCTTATTAATTTTTTTTTTTTTCTTTTGTTTGTTGAGATGGTAATAATGGTGGAAATTTATAAAAAAAAAAAGAAGAAGAAAAGGACCAGAGACAAATTCATACGTAAAAAAAATAATAAAAAAAAAATGGAGAGAGAGGGAGAGAGAGAGAGAGAGAGTAGTATTATTCACCACCGCCCCATATATGTTTGTCGGGAAAGGAGGACATTTGGTCCAACAGACTCCGGATATCCTACAAAATAAGACAATGGACGGCTACGACAACCAATGAAGCGTGAACACGTTAATGGTCTACCAGCAGCAGCTGATATCTTCCCGAATGATTGAGATCGATACCCCGTTAACGTCTTGTTCATTTGTACTTGGTATTGGTACAACATCCAAATCACCAAAGGCCTACCCATTCCGGTCCGCTTTCGGAAGAATTCAATTTTATTTATTATTTTTTTTGTTCTCGGTAAAGAATATTAATTAACTTCTTTTTGTGTTAGTTATGAGTAGGGGTGGACACAATCATGTTATTTGAGATCAATATACGAGGTGAATTGCAATTGAATAGATCTCAAATAAAATGATGTTCAACTTGTAAGTTCGTAAGTCGAAATTTTTTGTACTTTTATATAAAATTTGGCTTACTATTAAGATCAAACCAAATGAAGCTTTAATATGTGAATTTTTTTGAGTGGAATCGAATTCGAATTAGTATCTCTCATTCAAATCCTAATTGAAATTTGCTTGACTCGTATTCTCAAAGCTAACTGGAGTCCAAATTCAAGCCGGCTTGATTGGTATCCACCCCTAGCCATTAGGCTTGTAAGGGTGCTCATATGGTTCGGCTAACAAAACCAGAGGCCATTTTTATAAACCAAACTAGTCTTTTGATTTTTGGATAACCTAAAATCGAAACCAATCAGCAGTTGAACCGTTTGGTTCTTTGGTTTTTTATTTTTATTTTTGAATTTATAATATATTATCAATCAGATTTTTTTTTTGTTTCGGTTTTTTATGAGCACCCCCTAAAAATAGGGTATTCAAATGTTGCATATAAAAATTTAGGTATTTATTTATCATGATCATGGTTTTTAAAATCGACCCGAAGATCAAATTGGTGAGGAGTCCGATTATCAGGTCAAATGGTCCAATTGTTCGACTCAAGCGATCAGCCCGTTCTGACAAAAAATAAAAAAAATTTTTAAAAAATGAAAACCCGGTCAAAACCGTTCAAACAGTTTGAATGGTTAACTGCCCGAATCAGCAGTTTGCTGACTAAAATCAACGGTTTTAAAGGAAAATCAGGTTTTGGGGATAACCAGAACCGATCACCTAACTGGTTCCTGATTTTTCCGGTCCAATCTGATTTTGAAAACCCTGACTACGATCCCATGTATACGCCACCTATTTGTAATCTACCCTAAAAAAAATCAGCAAAAAATGGCCATATGCCTTTACCGAAGGGCTAGCATTTTGTTTGTATTTTATTTGATGTAGGGTCCAAAGCTCTCTTAATGAGAGTAAAAGACTTAAACTCCCTTAAGGTTTAAAATAAATACTTATACCACCCCTATGGTTTATGGTTTCTGAATGGACTTAGACCTCCTCTGTCAACAAGATATGCTGTTATATATAACAGATTCAATAAAATAACATTTTTGCCCTTCTTTGCCCTTTAAGTTTTAAAGAAAACCACCAACTGTAACTAAGGAAAAATACCGGACATAACAAAGAAGGATAAGGCTTACAAATCCAATGAGAATATCATCTATCTCGACCAACGCTTCCATATGTTTTGAGAGATCAGAATCAAATAAGCGTTTTTGAATTATAAACTATGTCATGGCCTCTATTACTTCAAAACCAGGCATGTTAGTCCATTGTTCGCCCTTCTGATTTAATCATGGCGAATTTGATGAAATAACATCATGTTATTTTCTTTGATTGTTTTTACATCTTTACCACTATCATATCCTCCAACTATAATTCTAATTCAAGTATTTATTTATTTTGATTTTTTAAGGTTTTTTGATGCCAGAATTAAGTTTAGCGATGGGTAAACTTGAGTTTTGAAAAAATTAATCAGTACATAATGTGATGTTCAAACGAATCTGGATGGAGTATTAATGGAGGAGAGGTATTTATCCAGTGACTTCACTCAATAAGGGATGTTTTAGTCTGATTTAAAACTTAAAGCTCCATTTGGTTTGTGGGATGGGGATGAGAAAAATGGAATATTTCAAAAATATTCTTTTTTCTCTTATTTGTTTTGAGGGAAATAGAGGGATGGGATGAGAAAAATGTGGGATGTCAGACCCCAAAATCGTGGAATTGAGGTCGCACCAAAATCGTACGACTCCAGTGGAAAAACTTAAGAAATTATTGTTACCATCAAACTGGCAAAGAACCACTGTTACAGGCCTTCTTCACCAATGTGAGGGGCAGCGACAATCTGTGAGGGATATGCGGCGATCTCCCTCCATTTTCCTCTTCTCTCTTCTCCCTCACCTTCTTCTTCTTCCTATTCTTCCCGTCTTCCTCCCTTTCTCTTCTCTCTTCTATGAGGGGCAGCGGTGATCTTCGCTATATACTGTCTCTCCCTCCATCTTCCTCTTCTCTCTTCTCCCTCATCATCTTCTTCTTCCTATTATTCCCGTTGTCCTCCCTTTCTCTGATCGTTGTTGCAAATCTTGGCGATGGCAATCTGCTTTTTCAGTACTCCTATTCTTCCTGTCATCACCAAATCTGCTTTCTCAACTCTCGCCGCTGCAACTCATGGAGATTTGTTTTTTAAACTGCGGTGAAGAACCAGCCCGTTACAATGTTTTTCCTATTATGTTTCCATATATAAAAAAAATCAAACAATGAAAATGTGAGTTTTTACACTTTCCAATCCCACTCAAATCTTCTCACAACCCAATACAAAATTCTGAATGACAGCTCCCTATATTCTACTAATAGCCCCTATAAACCGCACTCTACACATAAATTTGGCACCAATTCACGGTAGGATTCATCCCCGGTGCGGTGGAGGTACAAAATTGACCTGGACTGATCAGTCATTCTCCCAAACTTAAAAAGGATGTTTCAGGTTTAAGTCTTTTACCCTTTTATTAACCTAAAAAGGAAGAAGGTTAGGTTATAGATAGATAAAAGATACGACAAGGTCATCCATTGCGGGCCCTAACCCAACATTTACATTTTGAATGTTGTGTGGTGATCAGCGTAACACATGGCGCACCCTTGTTATTGCCCGGAACTTGTATCCCACTCCTATCCCTATTTGTATGTGTCATTTTTTGGCAACTAAACACCTCTAAACCACATATATATATATATAGATCCAACCCTTTTATTTTTTGACTTTTTTTTTTCAATGAATTGTCCCTGTTTTTTGTGTTTACAATAAAAAAAATGGAAAAATGGGGACATTTCGGTGAACTCACTTGCTATCCTTTTACATCATGACCGGCGACATGACAAAATAACCACGTCCAGTCAAAATTTCTGGGCAACACATGGCCTTAGTATCCACCATTAAAAGGAGCATCTCCTCTTAACTTAAGAAGGAGACAAAGTTTCGTTTGAAATGTGATTAATAAATAATAAAACATTAATAAACAATTTAATTATTAGTAAAACAGAGAAGAACCAAAGGAGCTGAATAAATGGTCGGTCGTGGAAATGTGCTAAATAAAACATGATGGATAAGTGCAGGATTGTTGGTCCCCACCTTCCGCCCGGTCCGATCTCTGTTTCGTCTATCCCAGCTTTCTGCTATAAATCAACCCGGTCTTCTCCTTCACCCAGACCATCTCCTACTTTTCAATTTTCACTCACTGGAAGCTTGTAGAAGGAAGGAGGAGCTGTTTCTTAACTCCGATCAGAGAAACCAAGAAAGCAAGAGGGATGGAGGGCAAAGAAGAGGATGTCCGAGTTGGAGCCAATAAATACTCTGAAAAGCAACCTATCGGAACGGCTGCTCAGAGTGACGACAGGGACTACAAGGAGCCACCACCGGCGCCCTTGTTCGAGCCCGGCGAGCTCTCATCATGGTCCTTTTACAGGGCCGGCATCGCCGAGTTCATGGCCACTTTCCTTTTCTTGTACATCACCATCTTGACCGTGATGGGTGTGTCGAGGTCGTCTAACAAGTGTGCTACAGTCGGAATTCAGGGCATCGCTTGGGCTTTTGGTGGCATGATCTTCGCTCTCGTCTACTGCACTGCTGGCATCTCAGGTACTACTTGTGTCTCCAAGTTCAATTTGGCCTGGTCGTTAAACTCGGCATACATATCTAACCGATGATTTGGCAGGGGGTCACATAAACCCAGCGGTAACGTTTGGGCTACTGCTGGCAAGGAAGCTGTCATTGACCAGGGCTCTGTTCTACATGGTGATGCAGTGCCTTGGTGCCATCTGCGGTGCCGGTGTCGTCAAGGGATTCCAGAAGACCCAGTACGAGATGTTAGGTGGTGGTGCCAACGTCGTGGCTCATGGCTACACTAAGGGCGACGGCCTTGGAGCCGAGATCGTTGGTACATTCGTCCTTGTCTATACTGTCTTCTCCGCCACCGATGCCAAGCGTAACGCCAGAGACTCCCATGTCCCCGTAAGCCTACTCTCTCTCTCTCTCTCTCTCTCTAGAAAAAATCGTTCTGATGGGCTGAGTGGACTCGGTTTCCTGAGCTTTTTAACGGTTTAAATAACCGGACTAATGGATTATCCTCAGTCCTCAGCTCCTCAGTCGCGATAAGAGAGCGACGAGCCAGGATTTAAGCGGTTCATATGCGGTTTTTTCTAGAAGCCGGCTATCTGGAGCCATTGGATTCGATTTAATCAGTATTTGTGATGAATGGTTGGGACTATTGAATAGATGTTAATAATGAAAGTGGAATTGTATGAAATGGAGCAGATATTGGCACCGCTACCGATTGGATTTGCAGTGTTCCTGGTGCACTTGGCGACCATCCCAATCACGGGAACCGGTATCAACCCGGCTAGGAGTCTGGGTGCTGCTATCATCTACGACAAGGCCCACGCTTGGCATGACCACGTAAGAAGCTGCTGACTTGCTTTATTAATTGAAAAATCTTGTTGTTTCTGTTTCTGTAATGGTGGCCATGTGAATCATGATTCTTTCTTCATTAGTTTGATTAAAATTTGGGTTATAAATGATGCAGTGGATCTTCTGGGTGGGACCTTTCATTGGAGCGGCACTTGCAGCCTTATACCATCAGATCGTGATCAGGGCAATTCCGTTCAGGACCAAGTGACGATGCTTTAATTCTTCAGAGAAGATTGAAATGGAGTGGTCTGTTATCTGTTTTTGTTTGTTAATGGGGTTTCATTTGCACGTATGAAGGTTTCTTTTTTGTTGTTTGGATGTGTGTGTATAAAGAATTAAAGAGTAGTAGCGAGTGTCAGTAATCGCAGGGTCTTCTTCTTCCTTGATTGAAGGGTTGAACACAGATGGTGGTAGGAGTACAATGGAAAGTGGACTAGTGGAGTGGGTTGGTGGGGGGGCCCAAAGTGTGTTTGTTGATTGCGCACTCTTTGTCCGGTCCAGACGTCCAGTGTGCCTTTTGTTTTGTGTAGTAGGTTTTAAGTAAAGGGATGGGGGAGTGGTCAGTTGTTGGCGAATGGCGATTATGAAGAAATTGTACAGTGTAAGACTTTTAGAAAGTCCAGCGGTCCAAACTGTCTTTTTATCTTCTTCTAATAAGTTATTTATTATTGTTGTTCTGGATCATGGGCTTTCTTTCAGTCAGATACAACAGTTAAGTATGCCCGCCCAGGCTTGGGCCAAATAAATTTTGATTTTTGAGTTGAGGCGCAACAGCTTTCTTTACCTTTACACAGTTACAGCCCGGATCAGAGAAAAAAAAAAAAGAGGGCTACGCTACATAACATAGGAATATAGGATACGGGATCCCCCAACCCAAGCATCACAGCACAGATCACACATACAAACATAATAATCAAACCACCGATCAGCCCCTTTTAAGTAATAGCGCTCCACTGTGAACAAGTCAAGATGGGGGTGTGAGATATACGCTCTGTTAAGAACAAATCCCATTTCAGAATTCATCCCTTCCCAATGAATCACAAGCTAGACACAATCTGTGGCACAATGACCATCACTTGGTTCTTTGAGATCCATTTTCCAAACCAATTTTGGTCAGGACTCAGAATGTATACGTGTGATGGACCGTAAATTAAGGTGCTGGTTTGGACCAATCTTCCAGATAGTAAAAGCCTACTTCCATTTCTAATATTCATATTTATGCTGTAATGTTTGATTGGCTACAAACTATTTTCTGCACATTATTGGCAGCGTTGAAAGCATAAAACAGAGAGATTCTTGAAAACAAACAAAAATCAAATACGAATACTAGAAATGGAAGTAGTCTAATTTAGTTTAGTTTAGTCAAATAGTGGGAGACATTCATGATTGTTACCACTGGTATTCTCTCCCTTTTGAAATTGCCCAATCCCCGCCCAAATCTTTTACCACTACATCCCTTAATCTAGTTGTTTGTTTTACAAAAATAACAGCCCATGCTGGTTAGGAGCTCTCTGCACATGGATACACTATCATTGGTGTTGGTGTGGGGTAAAAAAATATTTGCAATCAATTTTCTTTTTTTCACTAATAAATACCAACCGAGGACTGGCTCGTTGGTTTGTTTCAGGGTTGACACGGAATCAATCGAATCCAAAAGGGGTCAAGGGGAAAGTTATTAAGCCCAAAAGTAAAAGTAGAGATAGAAAGCTTGCAGGGCTTTTGATGGTCGGCATCGCTGAGCAACTTGAATTCAGACGATCGCCCATTAATATCCATGGAGTGTCATATGTCATCTGTTAGGTGCTTCCCAAAAAGCCCATCTTTGTGCCCAAAAGGGCAACCATAAACAAGAAGTAGGTTCCATGACACGGATATATAAACTTGGCACGACAAATCTTCCTTCCATGCACAAAAGAGACCCCCTGATTGGCCAATTGCTTACACTACCTTTAACTTTCTAGCTAGTCTTTGGCTTTTATCAAAAGTTAATTTTGTTTATGAAATGAATATTAATTCTGGATTTTCAGAGTTGCACAGCTGCTTTGTGTTTGAGGATTATTACATCATCGACAATTCCACACAAGAAATTTCATGATATATAACATAAAGAAAAAAAGATAGGTCGAGAGTAGCTTGTATTAGAGAGTGAAATTGCTAAATGAGTCATGGGAGAGATTCTCCTTAATCACGAGTTTGAAGTTAAAGTGGCAAGAATTGTAATTTCTTTCCTTCTTCAAGTAGACTTGTGTAAAAGGAAATTGGAGCAAGGTACCAATGCAACACGTGTTGAACTCAAGAACTACTTGTTGAGATAGGCAAGTGCATGTTAGTGACCTGTTTAACATGCGAAATTTGCTATGCCAGATGCATTCCGAGTCGGACTCGGATTCACTACCGACCCTTTCCTCTTGGCTGAAGCTTGTTCTTCAAGGGGACTTGGAGACGACGACAACTTCACTTGGATTCTGCATACCACTACTAAAGTTGTAGATGCTTCCCTCTAAAGAAATTTACAGGCTTGATGCCAGAAAAACCTTCTACAAGCTTGACGCCAGAAAAAAAAAACTCTACAGTCTTGATGCCGGAAAACCTTACAGATGAATGGCCAACAGGCCAAGTTGAATAATAAAGTAGAGAAAAGACTTTACAGACTCCATGTCGGAAAACCTTACTTGGATGATGACGATGACATTAATACTATCTGCGAAATCTTGAGTGTAAAAATCTGGCCAAGTTTACAGGCTTGATGCCGGAAATCCATAAACTAATCCATCACCCCTTACCTAATGTGTCTGCTGTGTTTGATGAAGAATTGTTATCATTATTCTTGGGCTACATTAATTGATAGTTTCTGGGCTTTACCCTCTATAATAAATACTTCATTAGATTAGCTGTGTAATCTAATGTGGAATTTTGATTAATAAGCAGGATATTTCAAATGTATGGATATGGACCTGAGGAGTGAGGACCCAACATGGGCCGCACCTCTAAGTATATCACGCAGAAATCCTTTATCAGAACCGGGGGATACTTCTCCAATCTTTACCAGCCACGTTGTCCTGATTATCCTGATGGGTAGGTCCCATGTATGTAGAGCTGATGTGATACAATGCATCACAGTTAACCTAGTATTATTAGTACAACTGTAGAGGATATAAACTCCAGTTTGCCTGCATAAGGAATAGCGATATCTGATCGTTTACGGATCACTTGCCAATAAAATACGTTCTAAAACCCTATCAAGATAATTTGACACCGCACATCTCATATATGACAGGGTTCTACTTTTATGGTGGGTCTAAGTCTTATGATGAGATGTATAAATTATGTTGATAGGGGTGAAACGTGCTTTCTTGGTAGGATATCCCAATTAAAGGGATGCAACTGGGCAGTCCAGGTTGGGAATTTGTTAAACTTTGAATGGGCCCAGCCTAAAAGCTCGGGCCGAGAACTAATAAAAGAACAGGCAATGGACCTTACCATCTTAGTGCCATCTTAATTGGTGTCAATTTTTTTTAAGAATTAGCATAGGGGCCCCTGTTCCGTAAGGGTTGGAATGGAATTGTAATATTGCTATTTTCTATATTAAAAAGACTTATAAGAGATTCTTGAAACTCATATTGCTATTTTCTATATTAAGAAACTTGCAATTATAAATAGTCAATTCTTGAAACTCATATAAAGACTTAAAAGAGATCATCATGTGCTCGTTTTTTAAATATTGCTTTAATAAAGTATCTCATATAAAAGAATATGATCATATAGTGATAATTCTGAGTTCTACTTTATAGCTGTCTTTTGTTTCACATCGAGAACTCCCAATTGACCCAAACAGTAGGACCGTCTGGCACGAGAACTGTCCAAGCAATCAGTTTTGTTTTACTCCAAACCTGGTCCCTAGCAAAAAATTGTTGAATCAATCAACGACCTGTTGACCCATTCAATGGTTTTTATCCATTTTTTATTATTTTATTTTACTTTTAATTTTTGTTGTCAAAATGGGCCATCCGTTCAAACCATACAGTCGAACCGTCAACCTGGAAACTAGTGCAAAACAGTTTCGTTTCCGAGTCGTTTTTTCTAGATGTCAATAATTAAACGAAATAACTTTGTAATCATAATCATGGGAAGGGTGGACATTTCAAGGGGTTCCAAAACCTTGAAAGATAAATCTAAAGTAACCTTAAACATATAAAAAAAATGGCAATAAATCCACCAAACTGAAAAAGCCAAGGAAAAAAAATTAGAAAATCGAGTTCAAAGTTTCTCTTTGAGACGGAGCTAAACATAAATGCAATCAAAGAAAGAGACAAAGCAGATCGTCTTGTAAGAAAATAAAAAAAAAAATTGCACAAGAAAACCCAAAGAAAAAATAAAAGGAAAGAAATAAAATGGTGGTAAACCCTAAATTGTACACGCTCGAATAAAGCCAATAGTAGAAGAAACCTTTGAATAGTGAAAATTCAAAAGCATAAAAAACCATGGTTTTCGAACCACCATTGACCCGGACGGACGAACATTTCGGCCCAGGAACCGTCTAAGCAACCGGTTTCGTTTTACCCCAATCCTGTTTCCTAGCCAAAAACCGTTGAATCGGTCAACGACCCATTGGTCCGGGCGGTCAAACTATCAACCCGTTGACCCATTCAATGATTTTTGACCATTTTTTTATTTTTTTAATTGGGAACTGTCCATGCAACCGGTTCCGTTTTATCCCAATCCCGGTCCCTGGCCAAAAACCATTGAACCCATTGACCCATGCGATCGAACCTCGACCCGTTGACCCGTTCAATGGTTTTTGGCATTTTTTTTTGTTTTTGTTGTTAGAATGGGTCGTTCGTTCAAACCGGATGGTGGAACCGTTGACCCGAAAACCGATGGACAGAACGATTCTGTCTACAGGTCGTATGAGTCATACACTGAAATGACATAACACGTATGATACCGCTTAATGGACTTCACACACTCAATTTTTTGCCTGTAATTTTTGTTGAAGAAGAAGACCAAACACATAAAAAAAAAGCAAAACAAAATCAGAAAATGAAAAAAAAAACCTTTGAATAGTGAAAATCTGAAAGCATAAAAAAACCATGGTTTTCAAACCACTATTCACCCGGACAAATGGACATTTCGACCCAGGAACCGTCCAGGCAACTGGTTCCGTTTTACCCCAATCCTGGTCCCTGGCCAAAAACCGTTGAATCGATCAACGACCCATTAACTCGGGCGGTTGAACTGTCAACCCGTTGACCCATTCAATGGTTTTGACGACTTTTTTTATTTTTTTTAATTGGGAACTTTCTAGACAACTGGTTCCGTTTTATCCCAATCTCGGTCCCTGGCCAAAAACCGTTGAATCGATCAACGGCCCATTGACCCGAGTGGTCGAACTGTCGACCCGCTAACCCATTTAATGGTTTTGTCTGCTTTTTATTTATTTTTTAATTGGGAACCGTCCAGGGAACCGGTTCCGTTTTATCCCAATCCCGGTCCCTGGCCAAAAACTGTTGAACCGGTCAACAACCTATTGACCTGGGCGGTCAAACCATCGACTTGTTGACCCATTCAATGGTTTTTGGATATTTTTTTTAATTTTTTAATTTTTATTGTCGGAACAGGCCATCTGTTCAAACCAGACGATTGAACCGTCAACCCGAAAACCGATGGACAGAACGGTTCCATTTTTTGGTCATACGAGTCACACGCTCGAATGACATAACACGTATGATACTGCTTAATGGACCTCACACATTCAATTTTTTGC